TTGACAGTTCCCGATTCACCACACCACGTATGCTGGAGACACTCGGAATTAACGATGTAACTCTAGCCTTACACTTCGTTGGCTTTAGATAGGTTTCAGTGCGCTATTCTCAGGTCTCCTTGTGGCCTGTCCAGTTGGAGGCTCTCGAATTGAAGTCGTCGTGTATCAGTCTCGCCCAGGAAGACTTCGGGGCATCTCTGGGTCGTCTAGTTTCCTCCCTACCTCGCTTGAAGAGTCTATCGTTCAACTGGGCATTCGTCTTCCCCGGTAAAGGCAACATTGACTCGGCGGTGGAGGCCTTGACTACTATGCACACCGTCAAGGACTTGCGTGTGGATTACCACAGCGGCGCATCTCGCTTGGGTGAATTTATAAAGAAGTTCCCGTGCCTTGAAGCTCTTGAGCTCACGGGCCCGTTAGAGCGGTTGGTGCTTGAGCCGAGTCTCAATGACGAGGAGAGGTAGTTGTCGTGGGGTTATTGAATTTCTTGTGGCTGTAACGCTAGCACGCTGCGAATAGGTGAACTGTGATTGATGAGAGAGTGACTTTTCCGGGAATTCCCAGAAAAAATAGCGATTCCGAGCTTCTTATGGTCCTCCTAGTTTTGTCTGAGAAATGATGGTGAGTTGATGTTGAAATCTTCGGGAGAATTTATGCGAACTGTGATGGGCTTTCGAAGGGTAATTGGTTGTTTCGAACCCGGGATCTCTTGGTTTACAACGCGTTGCTTAACCGCTCCGCTACAAACTCGTTTGTCAGCTGCGATGATTGAGAGCCGTATTTGCTGGGAAGCTCGACAAACGTGTTGTGTCAGGTGTAACGTGAGGCGTTTGAGTGTTGTAGACACGTCGGCGTCGTCCTCGCTGCAAGCGGATAACCTCAGGGCATTGCTCCGTCTGTGTCCCATGGTGGAAACTCTCACGTTGAGCCGCGGTTGTGGTGTGACGCCGAATGACGTCACTGCGCTGAGTCGAGTGTGCAGGGAAACTCTGGGCAAGTTGAACACTGTGGAAATAAGGAAGGCTAAGCTTGGGGTAGTCAGGGAATAAATACACTCGCCCGGAATTGAACGTGGGTGATCCGCTGCTCAGATGCCGGCCTCTGGACCTCTTCTCGTTGAGTCGATTGTCAGACTGATGCCGTCGTCAGTGCGTTCGGTAACGTTGTTGTACACAGATATCTCAGTTTTAGGGTAGGCTTATGCGCGACTCGCCGTGTTGTCATGTTTGTGTTCAGGTATCGCTCAGTGAAGGCTCTTGCTGGTCCTGAGTATCATTCCTTTGTCGTGGAGAGAGAAAAGAAGAGCTGCGAGTCTCCTGATCCTCCAACGATGAGCGATGAATCTACTGAATTACGAGGTGGGTAGGTCAGTGTGG